TCTGTGTAACTTCTGCTTGGGTATTTATATACACCCAAACTTGCTCACAGCTTTTTTGCTTGCATAACTTTTGCTTGGATATTTATGTACATCCAAACTTGCTCGCAGCTTTTTACTTGTTTGTGTAACTTCTGCTTCGGTATTTATATACACCCAAACTTGCTCACAGCTTTTTTGCTTGCGTAACTTTTGCTTGGATATTTATGTACATCCAAACTTGCTCGCAGCTTTTTCTTGTCTGTGTAACTTCTGCTTGGGTATTTATGTACACCCAAACTTGCTCACAGCTTCTTCGCTTGCGTAACTTTTGCTTGGATATTTATGTACATCCAAACTTGCTCGCAGCTTTTTTCTTGTCTGTGTAACTTCTGCTTGGGTATTTATGTACACCCAAACTTGCTCACAGCTTCTTCACTTGCATAACTTTTGCTTGGATATTTATATACATCCAAACTTGCTCGCAGCTTTTTTCTTGCATTGGATTTTGCTTTGTGACTTTCTGTCTCATAACTCTTGTTAGACCTGTGCATCTTGTAATTGAATTCCTTTGCTTAGAGCTTTTTGGCTTATGTGGCCTTCTCCCAAAAGTTTCTCAAGAGAAAGGTTAGTTTTCTTAAAAACACAATAACTTGCATGATTATTAAGGTTGAAAATTAGAAAATTAAAAAGTAAATATACTTAGCTGGGATCGCAGCTTTCTTTTAAGATTTATGCATGTAGAATTTTGAGATGTCTATCTTGCCTTGCGAATGCAGAATTTGATTCATCATTTGATGTGGTTGAATGTGATTGTAACAAAGCTTCTTCAAATATGGAGGTAGTTGTATTCTCCGCCTTTTAACAGAGTGCTTGCTTTTCTATCTATCCAATCATGATAAAGCTGCGTAGGTATTTGAGTCACATAATTGAGTTACTAGATTTTGATATCCAGTACATTCTTGCATGTGACAAATGTTTGCTTATACATCTCTTGCAAGTGCATGTTTATTTATTAGGTGCATTATGACTCTAAGTTTGACAGTCCTGCAAACATGTACTCCTTTGTGGTAGTAGATCGCCTACGCATGATATCATCTTAAGATTTTCTCCTGCACACGGTAAGAGCAGAAACAAGCTATATAGATTTTGTTATCTTAATTTCTTTAAAGACATGAGAAAATTGTTAGTGCTTTCACGATCATAATTGAAAAATTTATGAAAATAATTATTTAAATATTGTAAAAAGATATGAAACTTATCTGGTAAGTTGTTAATTTGTTCCTGCACTGCTTCATTATGGAATCTTGCTATGTAGGCTCTTAGTGACTCTCTTGTTTTTTGTTTAATTGTTAGGAGATGATGGTTGGTCTTTCGAGAAGCTCTGCTGGCAGTGAAGTGATTGATGAACATGTTTGCAAATTGATCAAAGGTCTGGATAGATTTTTCTGGTAATGTTGCGAACCAAGCCTGCGCAACTTTCCTAAAAGTTGCTGGGAACTGCTTGCATAATAGGGCATTCGAGGCTCCATATACCATCATTGCCATTCTATATCCTTGCACGTGCTCCACTGGGTCTTGAGTTCCATCGTACTCAGCTAGCTTTGCCTGCCTGCTTCTATCTTTGCCAGATGTTGTCGCAACACCTCAATTTCTTTGTAAACACCGTCATCATGAAACTGTGTTTCTGTCTTTTGTGGACCTGCTGCCGTGAGTGTGGCTTCTTGGAGTTGTTGGCTAGCCTTCCTTTGGTTTGAATGTGTATGAGGTGTCATGTTTTTACTCCGAAAATTGTATTGAGTGAAGGCTGAGGATGGTTGTAAGCTCGTGTCGATTGTCAACTCTGTCGATCTTGAAGGTACGTAGCTTTCATCTTGATTGCTGTTTTCTTGTGTTGAATTTTGCTCCTTCCCCCCTAATGTCCTAGCATCACTTTGTGACAAGCGCTCATGCCTTACTTCTTGCAATGACATGTTAGTAGTTTTTGTCATGGATACTATGGCTTGCTCAATTGCTTTTAGACTTTGCCTCGTCTCCTCCATGTCTTGTGTAAGTTTTTGTATTTGTGATGCCCTGGTTGAATTTGATGGTTTTGTTTTATTAATAGTATTTCTTGGGTTTGTTCTTGATGACGAAGAGTCACCCATTCTATCCTCGCTTCTGGAGCTCGGAAAACTTCTACGAGGTCGTGATGAATTTTTTGAATTTTCCATGTGGTATTCGTGGATTGAAAAGTGCCGAGCCCCACGGTGGGCGCCAAATGTTATACCCTAAAAACAAGTTCTATGATAATTAGGACACGTGGAGACAATTTAGAGATAATCCTATCAATGTAAGAATAGAATAAATCCTGATAGAATAAGAATACCCAAACAACCAATTGAATAAAATTGCATTCCTAGAATAACTGTAATTAGGAACCCTTTAAATATCTCTAGGATCAACCCAAGGGGGAGATTATTTTTCCATCATTATTCTCTCTGCATTGTAAACTCTCTCTATCAATAAAGATCTTGGTTCCACACCATCTTTTCTATTTTTTACTGTTAACAATATGCATTTAATTCAAGAGATTATAGAAAATTAGGTCGTTTAATTTTTCCAATTAAAAAAACCAAAATTAATGATTAAAAAACTTTAAATATTTTTAATGAATTAAAACGCAAGCAATATTCTTAAAAAAAAAAATCAGGAAATCATTTCAATATTTTCGGATAATTTTCTCCTCTTTGCTGCGTCACGTTCGTCTTCGCCGTCGCTGACCTCCGCCGTCCTTTTCCGCTTAAGTAATTCAACAACTCCTCCAAGGGCGACATTGACGTCGTCGCTCCTCGACAATTTTTCCGCAATAGAAGCAGGAGTCACCTTTGTGTATTTCAACAAGTTCTGGATTTCTTCAAGGAGAGGGTGGTCACCGTCACGGAGACCATGGTAGTTGTAGGCCAGCACCAAAAAAGCTGACGGTTTTAGGTAGGACAACTCAATATGCATATCCATCCGGCCAGGACGAAGCAGTGCAGGGTCAATCTTGTCCTTGTGATTGGTGGTGAATATGATGATCCTCTCCTCCCCGCAGCCCGACCACAGCCCGTCTATGGCGTTCAGTAGACCCGAAAGTGCACATGCATCACGCTGAAATTTAAATAAATAAAAAAAAATCAGTTCCCCATTCAGGAAAACATACTAATTTGTTAATTATTTAAAGTCTATATGTTTTCAGTTTCAGCTGAAAGTATAAATTGGATGTGGAATTAAAAATAGTTGTTAGACTAATGATTTTTTCAAAATTGCATCATGCATAAGAGACTGACCTTATTTTCTTGGGAACCCAATTGAGGAAGGTTGACATCTACTATTGTGTTGGATCGAGCGTGGACCTCTTCATAACAGTCGACATCCTCAATCACGATGATAGATTTGCTAGATATGTTTAGGAAAGCATCTCTCAGCTGTGAATTGCAATAAATATTGCTAAGCTCCAAATCATACACATCATATTTCAGGTACTTAGCCATGGCCGCAACCAGGCTTGATTTCCCTGTTCCTGGAGGACCATACAACAAATACCCTCTCTTCCAAGTCTTCCCAATCCTCTTGTAATAATCTCTCCTTGCCAAGAGCCGATCCAAATCGTCAAGGATGCTCTGTTTCAGGTCAGGGTTCAAGGCGATGGTGTCAAAAGAAGCAGGATGTTGAAAATAAGTGGAGTTGCTATTGGACAAACCACAGGATAAAGTATAGTCATTGCAACTAAAAATCATCAACTCCTTTTCTTCTTGCTCCAATAACGCAGCTGTGGTCATGACATGCTGTAAATAAGCAGAGGCGATTTCTTCTGTGTGTTTGGAATCAAAATATAACTCAAAATACCTCTTCTCCGAAGAATAAGAAAAGAAGCCGTTGTCACCATTATAAGTTCTGTTTTGTTCAGTTTGCTGAGTACAAACATAACGCCAAGTAACCTTGACATTGTTGAAGGTGTCCACGATCTCTTCTTCTTCGGGTAAGGCGACGGTGATGTTCTTCTGGGAGCGTATTTTCCCCATGTTGACTCGAGCTAAGCTTGCAGGGGAGATCTTGATGGGTAAGTAAACTCTGGCAGCGGAGTGGAGGAGGTTAGGCTCGGGTGTTATTCGTTTTCTGCTTAAGAGTGCCTGAAGCCCATGAGTATGACAATCCCCAAAAGCATCAAATGACTATATAGAACCCAAAAGCAAAAGCTGAAGGAAACACAGCGTTGACGCTGTTACGGTATAATGCTGAAATGGGTTTTTGCTTTTGGTGTCAATTTCTTTGCTTAGCTGTCAATTTTTGGTTTACGTGTCTTCAAGATAAATTGTAGGATTAGTTTATAATTTGACAGAGTCCAAGTTTGTTATTGAGTCTTTACTTAGTGGAGTATGGTTCCTTATTTTTAGAGATAAGATTAGTTTCCTTTTTTGCAGATCGTGGAGTCATTGAGTCCTTGTATTGTGCAATCTGTTGCTCTATATTTTCTATTTAAATGGGCACAGATCAGTTGAATAAATATCCTCAATTTAGTTCATCTTTTCTGTTGCACACCAAGTGTTTGATTA